CACGGCCAAGATTTTAAATATGAAATAATCTCATATTTTGAGATTTAATTTCAATACCCCTTTAACCCCCCTTAATAAAAAAAAAAAAAAAAAAAAAAATTTGGTGCCTTGTGCACCGGTATTTAATTCTAACGAAAAATTATTTAGTTTCGTTAGGATAACGCATTGTCATCCGCGATTTGGCTCTTGTTGCCCGTCTTATACGTTAAATTTATATTTATATTACAGAGCCTTGTTAAAACTCTTATAAATATATTTAATTCGTTATAAAACGTATACCCGTGATAGTATTTTTCTCGTACAAAAATAACTAGAATAAATTAAATTACTCATAAAAAAATAAAAAAATAATTAAATAATTTATATTTTATATGATAATAATAAAACATTTTATAAAAAAACAGATTCAATAAATATAAGTATATATATAACATGTACTTATATTTATTGAATCTGTTTTTTAATAAAATGTTTTATAAGCTTAGAAAACTTGACTTCGACGTAACTAGCAAATTTTATTTAATTATTTCACGACGGTTTGACGTAATAAAATGTTTTATTATTATTATATAAAATATAAGTTTAAATTCTTTAATTAATTTTTAATCTTTTATGATTAATTTAATTTACTCTAATTATTTTTGTACGAGAAAAATACTATCATTGGTATACGTTTTATAATTAATTTAATATATTTGTGTTTAAAAATTATATTTGACCTTTAATTTTAATTTTTATTTTATTAAAATTAATAATTAACATATATACTAAATTGCGAATTATATGGATGAAAAAAATCCCCATTATGTGTGTAAGAGATTTCGGAACTCTTTGCTAAAAATAATTAAAATTAAAAGTCAAATATAATTTTTAAACACTTTAATATTATTAAGAATATATAATTCGGTTCCCGAAATATATTAATTCATTATAAAACGTATACGTGATATTATTTTTCTCACATAAAAATGACTAGAATAAATTAAATTAATTATTAAAAACTAAAAAGTAATTAAACGACTTAGACTTAGATGATAATAATAATGAAACATTTTATTAAAAAAAGATTCAATAACTAGTAGGTCAAGTTATAATTTTTTATTTATTTATTTATAACATTATGAGCTATTAAGCTCATCATCTCGTTCGCTCTCTGTCTTGCTTTCATTCGGCAAGTCACAAACGATATATGATACTCGTATGTTCCTACTTCAACTCTCGAGAATCTGAAACAAACGAAACTCGTGTCCAATATACAGGGTGTCCGGTAACTAACAGACCAATAATTACAAATGGATTCTTTGGTCAATTTGGGAACGATTTTTCCTCAGCGAAAATGTCGAAAAAGATCATCATTTTTTACAACTTTCCAATCTTTGTCATTATATATCTTTATAACTAAGCCTTAAATTAAAATTTTATTATAGTAAACTCTACCTGAAATTAACTGAAGAATGTAATTATGTTAGACTTTTAACTCCAAAACGTTTAGTTTTCAAAAAACCTATTTTTTTCAATCGCTTATAACTCGAAAATTATTGACTTCTCTACATTTTTGCTAAGGAAAAATCGTCTCCAAATTGGCCAGAGAATCCGCCCTTAATCATTGGTCCGTTAGTTACCGGACACCCTGTATATATTATATAAAAGTGTATAGCACGTCAGAAGCTTGTGAGCTTACAGCGATAAGTAAAAACAATTGCGTATCTATTTCATTGCGTTTATCTGTTTAAACGCGCGCTTTAATTTTTCCAACGTTTTTGCCTGTTTATATTTTAAAGGTCCTCTCTTCTAAAAATCTTGTTTTAAAGATCCTCTCCGCGAGCAAAATTCGAAAACATAAATTATTTAATATTTTTACTTTATTATTTGTAAATCCTCGGTAATTTCAAAATTTTTCTATTTGAAAATTATTAATTTTCTATTGCCAATTAATTTTATCACAGACTTTACTCTTACTCCCATTGCACTTTCGTTTGCGGTTTTCAGTATACGATTTTTTATCGTAGTTACTGAAAATTATTATTGTGAATTATACTTGTGCAGTGATTTGAAGAATTTACAATTTCGTTGAAATTGTTGATTCTTCAAAAAAATTACGAGATTCGCGGAAATTGCGTGCTTTCTTGGCATTTTCCGTTCGCGGCAGGCGGTTTATTTTTGATTGTTGCAAGTGTTTTTTTTTTTTTTTTATTAAAATAGATAATAATAATGTGAAATAAATCACGATATTTGACAGATGTGCATATATATAGAAATTGTAATACTAATAATATTATATCATAAAATTGTAAATTGTTTCAATTTTTTATAGACTGCGATAAAAGATTTTACATTTGGATAAGAAACTGCGGTAAGTAAAAATATAAAATTCTTGAAAACGTACCAAAAATATTTGATAACGTAAAAAGGTGAACTTTGAAAAATAAGGAACTTAAAAATTGCACTAATAAATGGGCTATATGTGAGCCGTGCGCGGATGTAAGGTGTGTTATATCGAAATTTAATTAATAGAATTGAGAATTAATCCCAATTTTAAGTCTTACAAATGTCCAAGCTAATTTTTTGTACCTCGTGTACATTTTTGAAAGTTATATCGAAAAATTAAATTTCAATATGCGTCTTACATCTCACATTTCGCATACGGCTCACATATAGCCTATTTATCTCTTATACTTTATTTCAACCCTTATAGAAATTTATTACTAGTAACGCCAATTTATCAATTTTATTTCGAGTAATTAATCACTTTTATTTCGAATACTTAAATTACTGTATATTATAGTATTTTAAATACTCGAAATAAGTGATTAATTGGCATAGTGATAAATTTCTACAAGAGAATAAGGAGCCTTCAAATTCTTAATGTAAAAAATTTCAAGTAATTTTCTTTAATAAAATTTAATTAAAAATTTTTGAACACTGTGTTATATCACATTTAAAATCGTGATTATTTCAATAAAAAAACATTTTATGTGTAAAAAATATATTTTTATATTTAATAAATTTTATATATATATATATGCATATGTAAAATATTCTCTTTCTCTTTCTCTCTCTCTCTCTCTCTCACACACACACACACACACACAACGGGGGCCAAATCTCTCAAATTGGTCTCATGATCAATTAGCCTGGATTCGCACCAGGGGCAAAGTCTGTTGGTAATGTCAAACGAATTTAGCCTGGACTTGCACCAGGGGCAAAGTCTTTTGGTCGAGTCTACGAAATTTAGCACGGACTCGAACCAGGGGCAAAGTGTGTCGGTAAGGGGCACAGTCTATCGCATGAAGATGGCGGTCTCTTCTTTAGGCAGGCCTTTGGCGATCTGTCTATTAATCTGTGGTAAGGTACGGTTCGTACGAACTGTATTGTACGATTTGTTTTCTGTTTCAGGTAAAGCCTTGTGTCCACGATCCGAGAATTCGGTCCGAGAAGTTTGTAGCCAATAAAATAGCCGCTTTTCTGTAAAAGCTGCAAATTGATTGGTTACAAACTTCTCGGTCCGAGAACTCGGACCAAATTCTCGGATCGTGGACACAAGGCTTAAGATATAGAGGAGCAAATTTTTTGGTTGTGCCTTACAGGAAAAGGCGGGGATGGGGCCTTTTCCCCAAAAACAAAATAATAATAGGAAAAATTAATAAACCTGAAAAATAGGCCAGATAACGAGCAAAAAATTTTTTTAGATGTAGAAATAATTGAAACTTATTTATTTGTATTATAAAAGTATGATGAAGTTCAATTATTTCTACATCTAAAAAAATTTTTTGCTCGTTATCTGGCCTATTTTTCAGGTTTATTAATTTTAAATTATACACGAGCGTTTTGTTATTTTTATGGCTTTTTATAATAATAGGACTTAAATAAGATCGAGTACACTGAAAAAAAATTTTGTTAGATTAACAAAAATTCTGTTCGAAAATGGACGAAACGGAATTCTGGTTGAATCTACCAGAATTCCTTTTAATACAACAAATATCTTATTTGCACCAATAAACTGATTTGTTGTACAAACAAGATGCTTATTGCATTAAAAGGAATTCTGGTAGATGCTTGTTGCATTAAAAGGAATTCTGGTAGATACTTGTTGCATTAAAAGGAATTCTGGTAGATTCAACCAGTAATTCCGTTTCGTCCATTTTCGAACAGAATTTTTGTTAATCCAACAAAATTTTTTTTCCAGTGTAGGATTTTCTTGTTACAAGTAGTTTCAGCGGTAATAGTTTAATTTATAATTTAATTAAAATAAATGTACTTTGCGTTTATAATTGATATATTAGTTATTAAACATGTATTGTACATATATATATATAATTTTTTTTTTATACATATACATTATTACATCATTGTAACATATAAAATACGCATATATATATTTATAACTTTTTAAAAAATTATATGTATTTTTTATATGAGATAAATAAATAATTGTTTTTTAATTATAAAATTGATTTTACTGTTTTTTTTAATTATAAAATAATAAAAAGAAAAGGGGAAGAAGAGGAGGAAGCGTGTACGAAAATCCTTTTTTGTACTGGAACTGTACTGATGTTGTACTGGTATCGTACTGATACCATACTAGTATTATAAGAGTACAGCCTATGATAAAATTTTATTTCAATATACAGTGGTGATACAGTGGCGCTACAGTAGCCGTACCGCGTACTAATACGGTGTATTGGTAATGTACTCCTACGGTACGCACGTACGTGGTAGGTACCGTACTGATACATAAAATACGACGTACGCTCTCCGTACCGGTACCGTGGAAGTATTTTGTTATCTGGGATATTGTAGTACAGCGTATCATCATTGTACCTGTACTACGTATTAGTGCGTATTATCGGTACATATCGTACAATACAGTTCGTACGAACCGTACCTTACATATTTGTATACGCCGTATTGGTAAGGTACGGTTCGTACAAACTGTATTGTACGATATGTACCGATAATACGCACTAATACGTAGTACAGGTACAATGATGATACGCTGTACTACAATATCACGTATTGGTTTTGTACTGTTACCATACGGTTACTCCGTATGCTGCCATCTCGTGGCGGCACAGTAATAGTACAGTAGCGGTATTTTGTGCAGGAATCGCACGCTTGGTTATCTGGGAATATGGTTTATCATTCATATACCGTTGGCTATAAAAGGTTACAATTGTCAAATAATTGATTATGCACAAATGCATAATCTTTTTAGAATCGTTATACATTATTAACTGTCTTCAATGGCTGTTTTGCATCGCGCTTTGTTCACGTGGTTTAATTTGTTAATATTTTTGGTCCTGCTAGTCCTGAAGCTTGACCAAAGAATACAATGGAACTGGTTTATTGTTTTCATTCCAATGTGGCTTTACAACAACATTCTTCTTATGTACATTATTTTCAACATGATCTCACATTGCAAGAACGGACGTCTCAATAGTTTGCACAGAGAGGCAAGTATTTGGTCAATTTTCAAGTCGCAGTTCAACAAGATGTAGACTTTCTTTTGCATAGTTAAAATTATTCCAAATTTGTTTTTGCATGTATATATGTATATACAATTTATAAAAATGTTGGATTTAGAAATATGGAGGTGCAATAATGTTATAAAAAAACATTCAGTTTTAATTAAAAAAAAGAAAAATTATTACCTTTCAGTATGCAGTAACAATGTTATTGTTTCAGGTATGGTATATAACAGCTGTGCTCCTGAAACTATGTGCTCAGATCCTGATTTGTTCAAAATTAGAGGCACCTGAGTGGTCACTTCCAGCGAAAGTGGTATTGGCACCCTTCTGGCTGCTCCTTCCAGCATTAGCAGTCGATGTCTTTATCCATTTGATACATCAATCTAGATATTGACAATGGATAAGTGCCAGCTTTCTGCAAACTACCTGAGGACTTATATACGTATGGTTACATTAATAAAATATCGATATTATCATTACTTTTTATATAAAATCAAATATATAATTATATATATACTTGTTATTTTTATAAATTGCTTATATTCCATCATATTTATTGGATAATAAAGTATTATCTTGTCACACATACATATTAATTTATATCAGTTACATAAAAATTTATGAATATACTCTATTAATTTAAATATTTGGTGCTACTAAATTTTTTCTGTAAAGAAATCAATAGATTAATCCTTATGGGAAGGTCTGAAAATGTAATGTATAAGTTGTCACAAGATATAAGTCTAGTCTAGTTTACTATAAATACTTGGTATTGCACAAGGCCAAATAGGACAGAGAGTTAAAAATAAGTAAATTCATAACAGTGCTTGTCGTAGCAATTCTCTCATCAGTAACTGAAAGAGCATCTTCTGGTTAAAATCACAAATTTATGCTATAGCTAGTGAGTCCGTTTATGTGAAAAAAATAAAAGCAGTGAACAATTACACACAAGAGTTTCTCTTATGATTACGCAACATCATTAACTTCGTTAAGAAAAGTCTTGTCTTGCATTGTGTACTGAATGATTATTGTGACAAACATCTGTGAAGAATAAATTGATAGCAGCTGTAGAAAAAACAAAATGATCAATGTAAATAGAATGTAATTATGGCATGAATGAATGGAAAAGACCAGCAACATCTGCCAGTCTGCTGACATTGGTCGTCACAAAATATAGCAATTGGATAAATTTCTATCAGTCTTATATTTTCTTGTGCACATTTTTCTCTTGATATATACATATAATTTAATACATAAGAAAATATATATATATATATTCTCTGATTCTATCTCTATAATTAAATCTTGAAATAAAAGTATGTACACATTAAACAGTTATTATTAGGGAGTGATATTTTTTTTCTATAAATTCAGTTTATTTGTGTGCAACTAATAAAATAAGTGATTTTTTTCATAAAAAATTTATAACTGTATAAAAGTTTCTCTAATTGATTTCTAGGTGACAATGTGGTTTTTTATACTTTTTTATTCATTATTTATATTACGAAAATCTGAAACTGCAAGTGATGTAATATCTGTAAAAGAAGTGAAAGCTGGACACTTAGCTGAGCTTCCATGCTTAAGCATTGATGAACATCATCGTTTTATGTTCTGGCAACTTGGAAATAACGATGTCATTGGTCCAGGAAATCCTTTAAATGCAAAGAAATATAATTATGAAGTATTGACTGGCACACTTCAGATAAGAGTAAGTGTTCAGATGTTTTACAAATATATTCTAGATTTTCTTTCTTTTATAAACAATAGCTTAGTTGTGTAGTAGAAACTTAAATGTGTAAATAAATTATATTTTATAATTTTATGAAGTACAATATGTGTATCTTTACAATTTATGTTTATAATGCTTATAGGGTGTGTCAACAGCAGAATCTGGATTTTATAAATGTATTTCGAAAGGTTTATTCGACGAGTCTAAATTGAAGATTAATTCTGTTGAATTAATAGTAAAAAATGATTGGGAAAAAGTTTGGGAAAATGATTTTGAGGTACCTCTTATAATTATAAAAAATATATTAAAGTGTTAAGTAACTACATTGAATTATACTTAAATTTTATTAAAACTTACTTTGCTTAGACAAATCTGTTACGAGGAATGACTGCTGTTATGGTATTGGTGCTTGCTATAGCTATTGTTCTTCTAATTATTACCGTTAAAAGAAAGAAAAGTCAAAGATTCTTTGGTAAGTTTTTTTGTAAACATATGACTAGAATAGGATACACTTTTCTATAAATTTCTATAGAATTCTCTCTCTATAGAATCTTTAATTTATTTTTACAGATCTCGAAGAGTCGAGAGATAATTCTCCAGCACGATATACGCCGAATAATGCGCCCGGTGTTTCATCAAGTGCCGAGAATGCTGGAGTTGATAATGCCGCTGTTGACATTGATTTTCCTAAAGTATTTAAACAAATGCAGAAAGAACAAGCAATGCCGTAGATTGTAATTGTAAAATAGGAGAATTACAACAGGAACTTTTTAAGAATATTTGATATAAGAGAGAGTGTCTCTTCTCTTTAATTTTGAATTTATTTTATTTTACACAAATTTCTCCGTACTATTATTGTATAAGATAATATGTAGTTCAAATTCATTACAATAAATATATTGTAAAAATGTAAAATATGACTAATAAAATCTATATTCAAAATGATTTATAAAATTCAGATTGAGAACAAATAACCAAAGATTATACGAACCATAAATTAAGAATTTTTTAGTTGTTTGAAAAGTTATTATCTATTCAATAATCTTTTCGTATGTATAGATTAGACATACCTTAAGTGAATCCTAATAATACTCTTGTAAATCAGTTCTTGCTGCTTCCACAGGGAAATGTGTGCTAGGTGTGGTATCCATCATATTTTCCGAAGTTCGTGTTTCCTCTTCCTCTTCCTCTTCCTCATCATCATCCTCATCCTCGGGTTCTGCTTCAGTCTCGAGTAAACGAATCTTCCTATTATTTTTGCTCAAGATGGCAGCTACTTTTCGAGGACCGCTAACTGCTAGTCTCGCGGATATTCCTTGGAACGGTTTTGGCCACGTTGTACCAATGATATCGACCAAACTCACCGTATCGTTTTCATTCATAAAGGTAGATGCGTCATGCAATTGCACTTGCACGAGAGACGATGCATGAGTATGTTTGTTTAATATAAGTAAACTAAGATAATCTTGCGAGTAAAATTGTAAATCTGCTATCACAATATCTGTGCTTTCTCCTATATAAAACATACAAAAAAGATTATTTATTTTTGTTCTGTAACAAATAAGATAAACTTTAATATGATTGTACATGCAATATGATGCTACCAACCTTGATTCACATCTATTGTAACAGTGTTTATACCAAGAGCTGCAGGTTCCGCAGATGAATATTCGATATTAAAAAGTTTAAAAATGTTGCTGTCAGCGTCGCTCATAGCTAATAAGAGATTTCCATTGTTTGCTTCAATCTGCGAGGATACGAGAGATGCAAATAATGGTAAAGACGTTGAAACCATTATAAAGTGCTCGATTAAACCCTGATAGGCTTCTGCGAAAACATTTTCTACAGCCGTGACTAATTTTTCATGGGACTGTAGTAAGGATAAGTTAAAATCCTGTTTAACTATATGTGCGTAATCGCGCAAACAATTATTCGTTTCGAGCATGGCGGCCCATTCGCTTCCTTCCGAAGTCAGAGGAGTTTGTAGATTTTCGCGACGCAGATATTGACCCAATTTTTCTAGATTTATCTTGTTCGTTCTCGGCACAGTTTTATCAAAACCATTGAGAAATTCGGCGATAAATGTTAATTCCTGTTGACTTACGCGACTTACTTCCGAGGGTGCTTTCTCATCTGTTAATTGGAGGATAGCTACATACAACCATCTGTAAATGCAACGACAAAATTAAAATTAAATATAAACAGTAAATTAATTAATCACTCGATTTGTAATTCGTATATCATACCGGAAAAATGCTTTGTAATTGCGCATACTCTGATCTATAACTTGCTCGATTTCATACGACTTTGCCAGGAAAGCCTCGGATTCATTGATGGCATTAGTAACGAGCGTTTCATCGCGTAATCCTAATGCTTCGTATATGTTACCTATCCTCACCATGCCTCTTAATTCGGCTAACTGATAAACTAAGGCCATACCGACACTAGTTAAATTTTTTGAGACCAATTTCTGCAAAAGTATAATCAAATATTAAAAATATAATTTTAAAATTGGAACGTGATACACAGATGCAATTAAATTAAAAAAATATGTATACAAATACCTGTATATTACTGTAACACATCTCAATACTATGCCCAAATTTTTTTAATCCTTTCTCCGTAAGATCCCGAAGTAGAAAATGTTCTAAATTCTTCGTAGGTATTCCAATCATTAACAGTTCTAAGAAATCTGCAGCCATACTACCAGGTGGGTTTGCTTCCGTGTATCGCGTGAGTTTTCATCCATTTCCAAAAGTATTGTCTCCCAAGCTTCACAAGTAGCCATTAAAGTACGTGAGAGATAGTCTTTTAAACATTCTATATTAGCTTGAATTTGTGCAACCTGAGAATAGAATGCATAATATTCTAAATTTAATGTTTCTTCCTTACATTATTTTAATTTATTACATGATACTTTGAGAAATAGTGCTTTTTGCATTAAAACTTTTGTTATTAATGCAATTAAAAAGTGCATTATATGTAAAAAAAAAAAAACCTTAAGAAATGCTATGCTCTTCTCAAGTAACGAACAGGCTACTCTAGTTGTTTTAATACAACTGTTATCTCTCCATGTAATCCATATTGGGTCACCAGATCCCCCTATGATTTGTAAAATTGGTCCATTGCCTACATTTATGATGCCACAATAAAACATTCCAAAAATATACATTAAGACCGCACCATTTTTCTGGCCAATCTACAAGAGATACATGTAACTATTATTCATTATAATCTTAAATATTCTATAGTAGTATTGTGTCTTATAATACTTACAAAGAGCATATCTAAAGTGTGAGATAAAAATTCTTTGCGTTCAGGCTCTGTACTATAACTTCTGATTAAACTGGGTAGAGGTGGCAGATAATAGCCTGTAGGTTCATTAGTTTTATCATCCATTGGTAGATTCTCATATTCTGACAGCGACAACCATTTAACACAGACAGTTAATTCGTTTGTTGGCAATTTGGTTTTATGAATAATGTTTTTAGTTTCAACATCAACAAGACAGAGTAGTTTGGATATTTCGTAGCACACTGCGAGAAGCTTGCCATCAGGCCTCCATGAAAGATGGATAACTGTATCGGATTCATCTTGAGGACTCAACAACCAGACTCTTTGCCACGTGAGCCTATGAAGAACGACTTCACCTGGAATACGCTAAAGATATTGATATCTTTTAAGATAAAAAAAAGTAGTTCTAAACTCTTCTTTTTTTTATAAAAGTTGTGAATTAAAAAATTTGATTTTTTTCTAAAGAATTAGAAAAAGAAGAGAAATAAAGTTAACTTTACCTAATATCGAACAGGTACATTCTTTAAAACATCGGCTTTCAGAAACTAACCTTTCACATTACTAATTGCCAAAAGATCCATTTTCGGTGACCACAGCATCATCGTTACTTCAGCAGGAAGTTGACGTTCCTCTAGCTGTCTCATAGTACCAGCCATAACTTTAAATTTCTTTCGCTCCAATGTTTTTTAAAAAGAAAATCCTCGACAGTTTACTAACCAGTCATTGCGCGCCTTGCCTTTATTTATGTTTTATAGCGTCTTCCATTGGAAAAAAACTCGCTGGCACTCAGTGCCCCCTAGTTTTTAATTTTTTATGGAGATTACACAAAACGCCACCAGTTCTAAATAGTTTTACACTTTCAATGAAATAAAGACATTAGAACTCAGTTTTAACAAAAACGGCGCAGTGTTGAGAGGAAAAGACTTTGAGGTTAATTAGCACAGCTGCCAGCTGCATTTATCTGGATCTCTTTTTATTTTTTTATATATATTTTACAATGACGAGTGAAAAAAACGATTTAAAAGCTATTTACTTAAAAATAAACTCATTAGAATCAATATGTTGTGAAGTGGACAAAAATACATACTATCGATTGAAACGTAAGTAAATTATTTTTTCTACGATTAATGAGAATGTTTGTTGATTAAGCACAATTCGTAGATTTAAAACTTATTAATTACTATTACCTAAATAAATTCAGCAAGAATATATATTTTATAGATATCAATAACTATGCGGTGGATTTTGTTCTTCAATTAGTAGAAAGAGAAATATTAAAATTAGAAGAAAGTATAGTTTCATTAGCTCTTTCTTTTGATGATACAACATTGTAAGTATTTGAAGCTCTATTAGTTATAATCAACAAAATATATAAAATTTATTATATTATATATATTAATATACTATATATATATATATATATATATATGTATATTAAACTGCTTAATCCTTTTATTACAGTATTCCAGTGGTTTTAAACAATGATTGTGGTTTAACTTCATCAAATACAGAAATAAATCTTCAGGATGAGAATATTTTTACTGCAAGTCAAAATGATGTTTGTACAAAAAAATTAGAAGATTGCAATGATGATAGTGGTATATACTACACATATATGTTTACTATTATACATCTAAAATTAGTAAGTTGAATGATAATGCGTTACATTCTCACAAATTTCTTTTTACAGATAAATTATGGACCATCCCTGAAACGAAATTTCTGTTGGATAAATACAATTCATACCTTTCATTAGTGGGTCCAATGAAAAGGTACAAAACTAAAAAAGTCATGTGGAACCGAATTGCCCAAGATTTAAAGGAAATTTTGAACATTGAACGGACTGGTGTGCAATGTGAAAATAGATATAAAACGGTTATAAAAAAAAGAAAAAATCAATAGATAATAACAGCAAATCAGGTTCTAGCAGAATGGAGGTTGAGTATGAAGAAGAACTGAAGAAAATTTCAGCAGCAGACGATAGTATCGAACCAGAAATTTTAAGAGGTGTAACAAACATCAAAAATAATGTAGCATTGAAATCGTGCAATCTAAAAATATCAAACACAGAAGTTAAAAAGAAGACTAAGAAATCTTTGCAAGATATTTTATATGACAATGCGGCTATTTAAAAATCACTGAGCAGAAATAATTTTAAATTATTATCAAAAAACCATGTTTTTGTTAAACAAGTAAATTAATGAAAATTAATGTGTATATGCATTACAATATATTCAATACAATATTCTCTTAATTTGAACGAAAATTATAAATAACTTATGCGTAACATATATTTTTGGACTCCTAAATAAAAAATATATTATATTATTTGCAAAACATAAGATAACATTTTTTATTCGAATAGTCTCAACTGCTCTTTTAGCTGAATGTTTAGAAGCAATGAAAAAAATCGAGGATCTACGAAAAATTTAAGTACATTTCTAGGATTTTTTTATATGATATAAAAAAATATATGGTATATAAATTGATTTTTAATTTTTTTATTAATTTTTAATTACACACACACACACAAATAGATTCTTATTATTTAAAATAGTTTTTATTTTTGTTCTTTATTTACATATGCATACATATACAAAAAAATAAAAATAATATGATAGCCTTTTGCTGACATTATCTCTCAATATTTGCATCCGTGTGCTCACGTATTAGTGTTTGTACCTACATGGACGCTACTACATATGCGATGTAAGAGAGACAAAGATGGAATGATGCTCTCTCCTTGTCAAGCAGTCAGCATGTTACCACAGAAATTTCCCCTGCTCCTTATGAATCTAGTGAGAATCTTATCGTCCAGATATTTCATAAAATAAGTGACATAACTTCGTGAATTTTTTTTTAATATATTCTTTATATAATAAAGCAGTCCTCTAAAAGGCCGGATTTTACATTTTCGCTCTTAAAAATTTATAATAAATAAAATACGGACTCGCGGCTAACCCAACCTTACCCGTTCCTAACTGTGCATTCCGCCAAGTTTATTAAAAATTTTTATTTTTATCTTTTTTTCATAAAATAGCTCTTTAGAGGACTACAAATGAGCTTACTGATTAAGAATATCCTAAATTTAATAAGATTCATTCAATATTTTCGCTAATATCTGGAAAATAAGAATCCGTAATTCCCGGCCGGCCGATAGGCGTCTCCACCATGTCACCTGCCGACCCTTAATATTGGCACAGATTAATAGACAGATCGCCAAAGGCCTGCCTAAAGAAGAGACCGCCATCTTCGTGCGATAGACTTTGCCCCTTACCGACACACTTTGCCCCTGGTTCGAGTCCGTGCTAAATTTCGTAGACTTGAACCAAAAGACTTTGCCCCTGGTTCGAGTCCGTGCTAAATTTCGTAGACTCGACCAAAAGACTTTGCCCCTGGTGCAAGTCCAGGCTAAATTCGTTTGACATTACCAACAGACTTTGCCCCTGGTGCGAATCCAGGCTAATTGATCATGAGACCAATTTGAGAGATTTGGCCCCCGTTGTGTGTGTGTGTGTGTGTGAGAGAGAGAGAGAGAGAGAGAGAGAGAGAGAGAGAGAATATTTTACATATATGCATATATATATATAAATTTATTAAATATAAAAAATATATTTTTTACACATAAAATGTTTTTTTATTGAAATAATCACGATTTTAAATGTGATATAACACAGTGTTCAAAAATTTTTTAATTAAATTTTTAAATTAAATTTTATTAAAGAAAATTACTTGAAATTTTTTACATTAAGAATTTAAAGGCTCCTTATTCTCTTGTAGAAATTTATCACTACGCCAATTAATCACTTATTTTGAGTATTTAAAATACTATAATATACAGTAATTTAAGTATTCGAAATAAAAGTGATTAATTACTCGAAATAAGTGATAAATTGGCGTTACTAGTAATAAATTTCTATAAGGGTTGAAATAAAGTATAAGAGATAAATAGGCTATATGTGAGCCGTATGCGAAATGTGAGATGTAAGACGCATATTGAAATTTAATTTTTCGATATAACTTTCAAAAATGTACACGAGGTACAAAAAATTAGCTTGGACATTTGTAAGACTTAAAATTGGGATTAATTCTCAATTCTATTAATTAAATTTCGATATAACACACCTTACATCCGCGCACGGCTCACATATATAGCCCATTTATTAGTGCAATTTTTAAGTTCCTTATTTTTCAAAGTTCACCTTTTTACGTTATCAAATATTTTTACGTTTTCAAGAATTTTATATTTTTACTTACCGCAGTTTCTTATCCAAATGTAAAATCTTTTATCGCAGTCTATAAAAAATTGAAACAATTTACAATTTTATGATATAATATTATTATTATTACAATTTCTATATATATGCACATCTGTCAAATATCGTGATTTATTTCACATTATTATTATCTATTTTAATAAAAAAAACAAAAACACTTGCAACAATCAAAAATAAACCGCCTGCCGCGAACGGAAAATGCCAAGAAAGCACGCAATTTCCGCGAATCTCGTAATTTTTTTGAAAAATCAACAATTTCAACGAAATTGTAAATTCTTCAAATCACTGCACAAGTATAATTCACAATAATAATTTTCAGTAACTACGATAAAAAATCGTATACTGAAAACCGCAAACGAAAGTGCAATGGGAGTAAGAGTAAAGTCTGTGATAAAATTAATTGGCAATAGAAAATTAATAATTTTCAAATAGAAAAATTTTGAAATTACCGAGGATTTACAAATAATAAAGTAAAAATATTAAATAATTTATGTTTTCGAATTTTGCTCGCGGAGAGGATCTTTAAAACAAGATTTTTAGAAGAGAGGACCTTTAAAATATAAACAGGCAAAAACGTTGGAAAAATTAAAGCGCGCGTTTAAACAGATAAACGCAATGAAATAAATACGCAATTGTTTTTACTTATCGCTGTAAGCTCACAAGCTTCTGACGTGCTATACACTTTTATATAATATATACAAGGTGTCCGGTAACTAACGGACCAATGATTAAGGGCGGATTCTCTGGCCAATTTGGAGACGATTTTTCCTTAGCAAAAATGTTGAGAAGTCAATAATTTTCGAGTTATAAGCGATTGAAAAAAATAGGTTTTTTGAAAACTAAACGTTTTGGAGTTAAAAGTCTAACATAATTACATTCTTCAGTTAATTTCAGGTAGAGTTTACTATAATAAAATTTTAATTTAAGGCTTAGTTATAAAGATACATAATGACAAAGATTGGAAAGTTGTAAAAAATGATGACCTTTTTCGACATTTTCGCTGAGGAAAAATCGTTCCCAAATTGACCAAAGAATCCATTTGTAATCATTGGTCTGTTAGTTACCGGACACCCTGTATATTGGACACGAGTTTCGTTTGTTTCAGATTCTCGAGAGTTGAAGTAGGAACATACGAGTATCATATATCGTTTGTGACTTGCCGAATGAAAGCAAGACAGAGAGCGAACGAGATGATGAGCTTAATAGCTCATAATGTTATAAATAAATAAATAAAAAATTATAACCTGACCTACTAGTTATTGAATCTTTTTTTAATAAAATGTTTCATTATTATTATCATCTAAGTCTAAGTCGTTTAATTACTTTTTAGTTTTTTAATAATTAATTTAATTTATTCTAGTCATTTTTATATGAGAAAAATAATATCACGTATACGTTTTATAATGAATTAATATATTTCGGGAACCGAATTATATATTCTTAATAATATAAAAGTGTTCAAAAATTATATTTGACTTTTAATTTTAATTATTTTATAGCAAAGAGTTCCGAAATCTCTTACACACATAATGGGGATTTTTTTCATCCATATAATTCGCAATTAAGTATATATGTTAATTATTAATTTTAATAAAATAAAAATTAAAATTAAAGGTCAAATATAATTTTTAAACACAAATATATTAAATTAATTATAAAAC